GGTCTTTAGGCTCACGTGACCTGTTCCGAGGAAAACGCAATCGCTAGCCTCATCAGGGTAGGGCTAGCGTGGTCACGAAATCCGTTTGCTTGCATAGCTTTGGCTTCAGCCGCCGAATTGCTGCCGCCTCCGCAAACTGTAGTAGACGGGGATTAGCCTGTTTGCTAAGTACCCTGAAATTGCCACGTGGGTTCTGGCATTCAGGGCAGTCTAGTATGTGGCTGGCAATAGAGCTAGTTGGTAGCTTCGGACCCTTAGCAATCATGTTTCGCGGAACATGCTCTGCAATCCTCGCTGACAGCCTTCTCTCAGTTCGGCCTACGTACTTGCTACCGCAAGTACAATTAAAGAGGTAAATGCAAGAGGCGGTAACTTGAGAGTCTGGTCTGTCCAGGTTAGATTTACAGAGCAGCCTTCTGACTTGATGCAATACCACTAGCTCAGCCGCATGGTAACACTTATCAATCGATTGACGGAGGCGATGTCTGCATCTTCGGTCAACTTGATCTCCTTTGAAGGGCAGTGTAATGAATACTTTTTTCTTTGGGACATCGGTTGCGGGTTTATCTCCGGATCGTACTTTCGCGTGCCGGGTTACAAATCGCGCTGGATTGGTAGATATTTTGAGAGGCCAAATTATCCAGAAAGCTGTTCCTGTGGTTGTCGGGAACAATCCTTCCGTGCTGTGAACGAGTCGCTGCTGGGCAGTCGTGTAGTTGCATGTTGGAGAAAAACTGAGCTTGTGCTTATTAGCACTTGTAACGTGATCACGCATGAACAAGAACAACGAGAACTATCAGACGCTATCTTTCAACCATTCAGAGAACCCACTGCGCCGCCGACCCTGTTACTGATCAGTGGAACTCGGAAACTGTAATTAACTTCAGTAAGAGAAGAGTAAACCATCGGCGCCAAATTACACTGAGTTTATCGATGTGAATGTTACTGAGGATTCAGTTACACAGGCAGAACCGACTAGGCTGTTATTCCGGATTAAAGAGGCAGCTGTCCAACTGATTTCGGTGTTTGATAAATCAAAGTGGGTCAACCAATCCGCGCCCAATATTCTGTGTTCATGTAAACAGCCAGCGTCAACAACAGACAGGCATATTTTCGTAACCCGTCATCAAATTAATCACTACTGAGCGTTTCGGATTTTATTACACTATCCGAATTCATGATTCTTGCGTTTCCCAAAGGTCGTGGCGATATGCCAGCGAGGGCTTGCCTTATGCGTACAAAAAGAGTCAGTTGTTGGTCTCGGTATCGTCTCCGGCGTTCAGCACATTACATTTGATTGGTCTAGTAACAACTCTTGAAATCTTATAAATAGTTTCTTGCTATTTTATGGGTAGTGATGAGACAACACGGAATGCGCGCATCCACTAGTGTTCGTATTCTCTTTGTGTTATTCATTTCGAAATTACCCAATTTTAAGTCTATCAACGTTAAGTATTGAGAGTACGGCAAAACAGAACCTACGAAAATTAGCTAAGAAAACATGTTTTTAAGCGTGCTCATTGAACACCCTCCCGGTGGCTCAAGACAGGCCGAAAAAACAGAGATAAGCGAGTCAACTCTTGGGACCCTGTGGAGTGTTTTTCACCTGTTTGATCACACAATCCGTTCGCTACTGTTCAGCGACTACATGAGGCCACATTTAGAATTCATAAACCTGGCACACCTGGCAAAACACGATCCTGTTGCTCTCCAGAAACCACAAGGATCAGCGACTAAAAATGCTAGAAGCCAGACTTCAGAAATTTCCGACGGACAACATATTCGTTAAAAGGTGATGTTTTATTGGTTTATCTGATCCTTAAATAACCAACTGATACATGACGACATTTATGGAGACGGAGCTACAAAATTTCATTGCGAGTCCACCATTTGAATATAACCACGAAGTACCGAAGGTGGAAATGCCGGCGGAACTTACCTTCAATCAAATAGTATAGCTCTTTTCCGAATGCCGTCATCTCTGCTCCCGAGTTAAAGGAATTTACGGATTAAGCTGTCGTCGCAATACATTACTTGTATTACATGATTTGAACCCAAGTAGTTGGGGCAAGGTCTAACGAAAACAAACTGTGTTCACCTGTGGAACATTTATTGAGTAAACTGAGAATAGAATGCATTCTGGTAAATTTACTATTGCTTTCATTCCTTACCTACAGAACTCGTTAAACATCTGCATTTTATCCGTGATTACTGCCTGTTTTATTGCGCCGTCTGTACGCTTGTAGCTTTTAATTGGCAATGTTTACATGTGAAAAGTAAAAATGCGACGGAATCGACTGTCACCAACCGTAATTTCGTGGAATTATCCACCGCCCTAAGAGAAGGAACCTATATGTATCCTATAACCTGGGATATTTAATTGCGTGTGCTCTCCGCTTTCGCTACTTAAGTCTCATTTGTTGTGATTAGTGGGTTACACGAAATAGGCCGTAGTGGATTTGGATGGAGGAAAGGAAGCAACGAAATGTGTTTTGTCAAAGCGCTTGGATGCTGGTTGGTAAGAACAGTTTTAGTTCTTTTCATTTCAGTTAAATATTTCTAGCCTCTGCACCTGGGTGTAGACATGAATATGCATGTTAACGCCAGCTTTAATCTGCTTCTACATGGACAAGTAATTTCTGACCCAGTCTACCAATCACATGGTGTAACCGGCAGCGTTGGTGCTGCAACAGGCGCTGGCATCCAATAATATGCTCCACATGTGGTTGTTCAAGTCCCGCTTGACCGGAAAGCAACAATCGGACACCAGTTTAGAGTGTGAACCGGAACGGAAACTGTATTCAACGATGTAGCTGCACAGAAGGGTGTGGAATAATCCACAGGTTTCGTTAATGTCTACTGTGTTTAAAGGGTGAACTGTTTAATTACTTTGGTCAGTAAATTGCCACTAGACAAGACATGATGTTTCTGTATGAAATTACCATACATCTGCTATTCTCGCAAGTTTTGACGGCGAAGTCACTTGACACAGGACCCCAAACGCGTCGTATTCTGCCTGCCGATTCTTATCAACTATTGGGAACACCGGGCTTTCGTCAGCAGGGACAGTGCAACATCACCTTCGCCTGGCTGATTCCACCGCCTGTCTCCAGCCTGGACGCCTACGGTCATGCGCTTGCTTGTACTCGGCTGCAACTACGTGACGGCCGTGTTGTCCACAGTACATCGAATTTGGAAACTGACACCCAGTCAAGAAGCAATCGACCGGAAAATGAGCTGAAACATATCAACAAGGACTTGGCAGCGACAATGGCAGATCTGGGTCAGCTGGATGCTCTTATGCGAGCAGACCAAGGGGCCTCAGCACTCCCCTTGTCCAGTCCAGGTAATCAACTGACGGACGGAAGTCGGTACTTTTATCTGGCCGACCGAATCGGAAATCTTAATATTCTAGTTTTACTGCGACCAGGACAACAAATAAAACTGGAACTAATTGACCCCATTTCACCCGATCATGTATTCACTCCACAACATGTACTATGTTCTCGTAAACAGTGTCCCATAACTGATGACAAGCCGCCGACTGAGGGCACCTGGAACAAGTTATCTAACAGCAATAAGCTACTATCTGCTGCGTTATTGAAAGTTGAAAAACAGAATCGCGATCTGTACATTCAACTCATCATCTCACGTGTTGCGTGTGCGCTCGTCAGCCTTTTGTGCATCATTTTCATCGTCACTACCTTAGCGCTATGTCTTCGGTTACGCAGATCTTCAGTGTGCTACAGAGACAAATCTACTCCATGCGAATTTGGCGCTTACCGAGAGCAGCACCCTTCCCCATCTTATTTTCAACCAAACGGTAACTTGACTCTAGGCCAACCGTCACCGGTGTTTCTGACTGACGCATCACCAAGACACGCTGGATTAAATCAACTGCCCAGCGAAACCGGTAGTGTGAGCAATATTGTGATGAATACAAGCAACATCAGCGAGTATGCAGGACTGCCTATTACGTACGCGGCACTCGGCTCACAGTATGGGGCTCTGACAGCCTACCCCGTGTCCGCGGGACGTACGGCAACATGCAACGATCGGTCCGGAGTGGTAACATTTGTCCCCATGACCTCTCGAGGAATACTCCTCCCTTATCAAACAGGGTCAACCAGCCCTGCTCCTTCGCATCACTCACTGAACGAGACCAAATCTGGCGTGACGCGGACCGATTCTTTGGGTCGCTATTCGGCTTCAAGCATGTGCTATACGGACAACGGGCGCCGTAGGCTGCTGCAAATGAGCAAGCCCTTTGGGGTGGTGAAATGCCCGAACGAAACCGTCCGAAAATCGCAACTCGTGAACGCCATATTAAGCCAGCAAACTTCCGAGCGGAGCTCTGATTTGAACTCAGATGAGATAGATGGAAAGATACACAGCGGCCGAGTGGCAAGCAATTTGGGCTCCTTTCACCTACACAATTCTACTAAACCCCATGTTGTTCACCGTTATCTAAGCGATCCCCAGCCGGCATATACTGCGTTACCAACAACACGCAGACCTATTAGCGATGATCCAGGGAATTCCATAGCAAGTCGCTCAAATCATATTCAAGAACCATGTGTGGGACTTACGAAGAAACCTGCTTTGGTTACATAACGTGCTGCACATTCCCTGCTCACGTATGCGCATACGGGACAATGAGGAACCTTTCGTGAAAACGACGGTCTAGTGTTTGTCTCATGTTTGTGCTAATGCTTTCCAGAATGATTTGTCTGGTAAGCAGTGTGCTGAAAAAGCAAACGAGTTCATTTTGTTACCAAGTGATATTTCTCACATTATACGGAATTCATTGGACAGAAAATTGTTTAATCTTATCACCACTCTAACGTCATCCCCGTGAGGTAATTGCCGCTTGTTTTCTTGTACTATGATGAAGTGTATATTCTTAATGTCGTTACTTTTCGCTTTTAGAGATGAGCCTAACAAACTGTCGTTTTACTATCAGGCACGGCAGAAGTGGTGGCAGTGCAAAAACACGTTACTAGTTTAGGTACAATTTGGAGTAGATCTTTTTAGAGACCTTTGAAAGTGTGCATAGAAAGCCTCGATCGCTGGTTTAGGTTAATTTATACAGGCCCAATGAATGTAATTATTTCTGGATGATAATCGTTCACTAACTTTCGCTTATGTAACACCAAGCAGTGCTTTTGTGTACAGAAGGCATGGTTTGTTATTGCCTTATCTAAGCAATATGTTAGTTTCTGTCCAGAACAATTTACTTACAACCAAGTCATTTTTACACCCTTTTTTGACCAATAAATTTATAAATTATATATTCATCGATCGAGTGAGACACAGACCGTTTACTTGGTCTGATCGTATTACGTAGGGAATGTTACCGGGAAACCTTATATACCCCGTTTTAAAATAAGTGATGTGAAACAGGACACATGCCATCTTTCTGACCTAGTTTACTGATTCTTCTGCAACATTCTTTTAAATAAAATTCACCCCGAGTGATCTTTGGATTGTGGAGTATCGGCAGTCCGTCGGAACCACTTGCCACAATCCAAAAACAAGGCGGGCTCTTCAAAACTCGCCGGCGAACTGCTAACCACCTTCTTAAGCATTACTCGAGCAGTACCATTGCTTCGAGAGCAAGGTAACCGTCAGCCACAGCGTTCCAAGTTTCACTCCCAGCTGCAGTCGCTTTGTCAGTAAACTATAAACAATGACGATACTACTCGTGGAACGCAGTGTTGTGGTGAGCAACACCGAAACCATGTGGATGCTAGTCTCTGGGTAATATTCACACTACTAACTAATAGAGGGGCAAAATTAAATGTCAAGCTGGAACTTACGCAGGCGGACTGGATTGGTGCTGGTTCGCAGTTCATGCGGAACTGCATTACTGGTGTGGTTTCAGTGCGCCTATGGATGAAGTACATTGCAGCTGCTGAGTCTGTGTTATATTCAGAATAGTGGAAGCGGTCATGCGGGTCGGCCTAGATAGGGCCTGTCGTATGTATCGATTTCAAGGTTAGCCTGCTTTTTACCATCAACAGACACAGATGAATGCACTGTGATTTGTAACTGAAGGAAGCAGCCTCGTTGCCCAAGCAATAACCGAATATTAGGAACGGAGTCATTTCGTACTTTCAAAAATAATTTTAGCTAGTTTCATACAAACCTTGCTAATCGGTAGACAGTATGACATTTAACAGTTTATGTGAGTTATTTCAAGACGTTAGTGAGCCGACAAGCGCAGCTAAAACCTGTTTGTCAAAAGTTACGTATATTCAAACACTAAAATATCAATTGCATCATGGGCGCACAATTGTGAATCATATATTCTAGAAGTGGTGAGTATTTCTAGCTATCTGTAGCTCTAATGAGAGCCATTCATTATCAACTTGAAATTGCGCATCAAGGGTACATAACCTGAATGAGCTAGAGAGTGTAAAACCCGGGTGCGCTGACTAGTGACTGTAAACTGAGTGTTTTACCGTTTCTGTGTCTACCTTTTGGTCTTTTTGCATATAGTTGTACAAGCCTGAGGAAAAATTATCGAAAACATATGTGCACTTGACAACATTGAGTATTCAAAACTGACTGATCCAAACAAGCATTCAGGATCAGGACACCTACACTTAGTCACCAACATGGTCAATAATGCTCGCTATCATTTCGTAATGCGGCGCCGTATGCAAGACCACTACCTTACGGCTGTCAATAATCCTTGTCAGAACCAGTCATTAACCCTTAGATACCTCAGGATCAGACAAAAGGTAAATGGACAAACCGACTAGAGCAAGACAGCAAAAGCGCAACTGGTGCGGCTGCGAAACATCCCAGGCTAAGCTGGATCAAATACAAGTAGGATGTCTTGGACTTAAGCTAAACAAGCGTCTCTGACCAACAGCATGCAGTTAAGTTATAAGCATCTTTATTATTTCCTGTCAAGTTAAGGTTCGACTATATCGAGTCTTGCACTGTCATAAAGTGTCCTCGATAACCTCTAACCCGGCCTACGCAGCACAGGTCCTATGCACTGCAACTAACTCATGTTAGAAGGAGAGAAGTTGCTGCCAAGAGATCTCTTTCCGATACTTATCCTCAGCCTTCACAGTTATGAGAAAACTTGATATATGATAACAGTAAATGCCCGAGGTGAATTATTGCAAAGATATCTCTTCGTAGCAACTCCTCTTCTGCTAATGTATGAATGGGCATACTACACGAAGTAACTCAATGTTTTTGTTACACTTAGAAACTAGGATGCTAATCAGCGCTTAACGCTCAACTTAGTACGTTGTAGATACGCCAGTGCCCTCCATAACCAACAGTGCCGCACATCGATAGTCAAAGCCTAGATGTCTATTTAGATTCATCGACCCCACGGCCCTTTATACTACTTACAGTAGGATAGCCCACAATATAGCCCTGCATCCGAGATTTTCAGAGTGAGCAAAATCCCTGTCTGACGTCACAGATGTCGTAGACACAGGAAAGGCTTTATAGCTTTCGCGCCCATCGACGTTAGTGCAGCTAGTAAAGTGCGTGATTTGTTCACATAATCCTGCTTCCTCGTCGTCAAACGTCAAATGGTCATCGGATGACTGGTTGTACTTTGAAGGTGCGAAGCGCATGTCCAATTATCGGACTACTCTAATGGGGTTATAACGGAGTGACTAGGTCACTCCAAAAATGTTAAGCAGTAAGACTATATCGTTCATGTAAACACGGACAACAAGATTTCCACCACGCAGCACCTCAAAAATTGCACGGTGCAACCCCGCAAAGAAGCACCCTACTACGTATTTCACGACAAGGTTGAACAAAAGGGGGAGCTGCGACGTCTGTGACGAGCATCACATTTTGTCTGAAAGGCCTCGGACAATCAACGGTAAGCTCTGACGTGTCCTGTGTTAACCGACTACGCACCACATAAAATGTTGATTTATTTCATGGAAACCCACTTCCGAGAAAGTACGTAGAAGAGTATAGGAGCGATCGACTGCGTCGAACGCATTCTTGAAATTGAAGGACTCGACCGTCATCAATCTGCTGTACGGCCAACGTTTTGTTGGCTTTTATCGCAAAATGAATATCTACTTTGCACAGCCTCGAGCCTGATGGAAATCAGACTGCTCTTCTATCCTGTAAATTGCTTGTTCCGCTGTAATAAAAGGGAAAATAATTGCTGCGTGGCTTTGTTGCTACGGTGCCAGACTGAAAATAATGTGGTCAGCACGGACTCGTAGTTAATCACATGCCAACTAGCTGAGTAGCTCATACGACCTACTTGCGCTTCCACTTCCGCCGCAGCTAGAGTGATAGCTGAATTAACAATGGTGTAATGGTGTGTTACGGGTGAAAACCCACACGCCTTACAAGTCAGGATAGCCAGAATGAGCACCACAAAATGGGGAAAAACAGAGTGATTAAATGGTTGACTCATGGAGACATACACAAAAGTGTCAAGCTCGATTGTGTAGATTAAAGTAGACTGTACAACGTTTGTCACATATGGTCGATCTACACAGGTTATATCTCATAATGTATGTGCCCAATGCTAAGGCTGATGTTGCATTATTGATGCTTCTTCACCGCAGTTGGGCTAAACCAACTTAGACTTAAACTACGTCTTTCTAATGTGGAGAAAATTCATTCCACTTTATTTGGTTTATTCTGCCTACCTGAATAATCTTCTATTAACTGGTCAAGTTGCTTACGCTACTTGCGCTTATTTTCGGTAACTTTGTTGAATTTGTAGCAATTTTAAGTAACATGTGGACGTATTTTGCGTATCGCGGATTCGTTGCTAACCCACTTACTTCATATGCTAATTTAGCGAAGAGTTACGTCACCGTACCTCCATGCATTACGGGATTTACTTTATTTCATTTTGTCGTCTCAAGTGATTAGCTATTGTTTGACATCCCAGGTGTGACTGCGCCTGATGTGCATGTTGAGAAGGTGCCTACCTGTCTATTACCCACTACCTCGTCCATACTGGCTACAGGAGACAGTTGGTCATTGCTGGAGGGGACGGGGTGCACTGTCCTTGTGGCCGTGCTAGGCTCGAAGTGGGGTTCTATAAACACAATGTGGAGCGGACTACGGTCCAGCCACCGTTTGTGTGTTCTTGATCCCCCAAATACAGCGTGCTTGCGTTTGCCTGTGAAGGAGTGTGGGTCGGCTCCTTTGATGAAACGTGGCTCCCATCCACATGCCTCCCGGTCTTATTCCTCCAGTTTTACACTCGATATGGGGGTTTGTGGATGGAGCTGTGGGTGGTGCAGCGGAAGCCACCCATGGTCCCTCTGTAGGCGCAGGCGTCCTGTGGCTGGCCACAGTGACAAGCAAATCCGAAACCGGATGCCGCCAACCATGTCGTCTAGGGAAACGTCAAGGCTTTAGTAAACACAGAAATATTGAGGACAGAATCCACGTACTTTGGGAGAGTGTTCCATGACTGGATAAGACGAACATAGCAAACGTTTCGATGACATTATATCCGACTGCATTGGGTGGCCAAGTTGAACTGTTGGACCCTCAAATTCGTGCTGTTGCTAATTCGCATTAAGTTGTTGTAGTTGGGATTACTCAGAATCTATAGGTTATCGTTAAATCGCCATGTAGGCGTCGACACC